CTCTTTTATTTTTTCATAATTTATGAAAAGGAAAATATCTACAGAGTCTGTGCCCCACTGCCTCCCTTCACCAACCTCATGATCATGTGTGGAGAGTTTCTCCAACATTCATCGCAAGATCGAGGAGATCACTCATAGGCTGGGAAGGTGATCAGCAGGACAGAGGGCAACACAGGGGCCTCACTCACTGGTTGGGCTGCCTCTGCTAAAAGTCCAGAAGGAAAAGAAGCAGATGTTACAGTCATCACCAGTGTTGATACAGTCACGAACTATCATTTAAAGAAGCAAGCTTAAAAACAAATTTTACAAAAAGTACTTCAAAGACTACGTAACATCAATCAAAGGCAGGAATGAATAACAGAAACTAAAGAGAAAAAAAATCCCTTTTATGATTCTACTACAAAACAAATCTAGCATAGTTTTACTAATTCCAAGAGCTGTCTGTTCTTTCTTGGTGAAAACATGAATTCGTGTGACATGGCGGGTCTCCTAGACTACCATGAGATATGATCCCATATATGAATTTATTGAAAGCTGATTTTAAAGGTGGAAAATGGTAGTCAATTTAGCAACTTACTTTTAATTTATCACTTGTCATTATAACTGGCTGCTGCTTTTTTATATCCACACAAAACTAGCACTTCAACACACTGGGCTGATGTTATCTTGAGCTCCCATTTATTTAGACTTTGGTTGATTTGGTGTGGAGGCATTGTTTAAAAAAAATGGGTTATGTTAAAAATAAAGCATATTTGAAATTTAAAAAGTACACTCATATTTATAACTTAGTAAAAGCGTTGTGGTCCAGCACTCTACTCAAGCACTGAATACTACTGGGAGTCTCCAGCAACAGGGAGAATTGCAAATGAGAATAAAATCACCACACAATCTTCTGAAAGGTTATGTTTCTCTTTTAATGCACATTAAATTGACTAGTTGCCTCTGTATCTCTGTATGAAACAAGTGAATTCATAGTGGCAAAGCTGGTGACATTTTGAAATCCTTTATGAGGAAAACCTAAATACCAGCTCTAGCACACACAATCTAAAATACTCCAGAAAAAAAAAAAAAAAGACTATTCAAATTGTGATCCCCCTACCCCAACATAGCTCTAACTTCCTCAGCAATGTCCTGATCTCGAAGATGAGGTCTCCATATTCCCCAATACAATCACAAAGGACTCCGTAGCATACGATTCCTTGTTCCAGTCTGCAGATTAATCACTGTGAAAACAGCTAGACCTCTTGCCCTCTACTGAAAAAGTAGGCCATGGGGAGCATAACTCTTCACATACCCTTGTAGCTGCCAAATATTAAGGGATGGGGTGTGACAGTGTGCCCATTATGCTTTGAAGAATAATTTTAAGTATGTGTGTATATTATTCCTCATCATGCATACCCTCACAGTAAACACTAAAATGGAAAAATACACTGACTCAATCATGACTATTCTATGAAAAAAAATAAGCATTACAGTGTGCTCTGCATATCCACAGCACACATTTCTACGGATTCTGGATACACATGGTGCACAGCTGTTGCCTAAATCTGGCCCTTGGGGGCCAGGATGAAAGAAAACACAATTAGAGGTGAAATAAGCAGGTGTTTTCCTTTGTTTGTTTGCTTTCATTATTTGAGTGGGAAGAGCAAGATAACTTCCTACATGGCGAAGTACACAGAAGCACTCAGACTCTTCATCTAATTGTTTTGCCTCTTAATGGCAAAGTGACAGTATTCTTTCTGGAAATAAATTTACCTTCATGACCATGGAGTACAAGAATAAAAAAAAAAAAAATGTCTTTGTTGGTCTGAGCTAAAATTAAAATACATTGATGACACTAAATTCTACTCTGCCCTGCTCCTTAAATATTAAATGGACATTAATGCAGAACTTGCTTCAGCCCACCTTTTATTACAGCTAATTGTAATTTTGTCATCTCCCCATCAGAAATAAAATCCTTGAGGTCAGGAATGGTATTATTCATTTGCGTTCTAAACACAAATCTTGTATAAATATTTATGGAATGATTTGCATCCAGCAGACACACCGAAATATCTGTAAAACGAATCAGTTCTGAGTCCCTGAGGGAAATGCTATGAGAACAAGATCTTTTT